ACATCAAACAGTCCTCATCTTCTATCAACAAAGCATAGGCCTACACTTCTATCACCATTAGACGACAGCTAACATCATGTTAAGGCTAACTCATAGGCCAAGTCTACTGTTTTTGAACACAACACAAGAAGCAGTCTTAGATTAGTGTTAGGCGTGTCCTTTAGAAAAAATGCAGTGATCCTGATTAATACTCTCTTTCTAGTCCCTAACGCAACACCTTTAGACAATGCTTTTTTCACAACCTGAATTTGCAGACGCTGTATCTGAACATACTGGATACAGAGCCTGGAGCTGCTACAGCTGACACCAAAAGGTTAAAAAATAAATACAATTAATATAGAAATATGAATAAATACACTAGCATAAAATAGCAAGCATGTTAATGGTTATTAAAGCACGTCGAGAAGCAAGAAGACAGTATTCCTTAGTCTTCATTTACAATTCAGTGTGGTTCTGAATGCCACAGTGAGCACCATTTATATTCTGCTGTAATCCTAACACCAAATTAAAATCAGTCCATCCTTGAGTCCTAGTGGAAGTTTGTGCCAAATGTGAAAAAATTCCCTCAAGGTCTTCCAGAGAAATTGCGTTCCTGAGAATGAGACTGACAACCTGAAAACACAATGCTTCGTCCTTGGCTATTGCACGCATGTAATAATAAAACATGTGTGAGATGCTCATACTAAGCTCTAAAGTTTTTACATTTTCTTTTCTTCTTTTTTCAACCGAGAAGCATTTCAATATTTATGAGAATCAAACTGTGACTTTGGTTTTAAATGACTCTGCTCCAAGATGCTGCAGCAGTTAATGGTTTCAGTGCAAGAGAAAAACGGTGTAAGGATCTCAGTTATTCATCTAGTACTGACTCCAGATTCAAGTAAAAGTGCACCATGTATTCTTTACACTTGTACAAACATTTTTGGTAGGGCTTGTATCCCAATTGTTTTTAGTGATTAGAAGCTCACTGCTGAACCTCAACATGGCTGTGTGCCTCCTCATGAGAGTTCATCAACACTACATTGCCCAGAGCCTTTATTTTTTGCGATGTTGTCAATTTGTCGGTTGGCTAAGCACAGCTTGAATACATAAGCTAAAACAAACCTCTTTCTGCAGGCTAATAACCTATAGGTTAAATGTAAAAGCATAGGTGTAGTTCAATACACTTCTTAAGGATAAGCTATTAGAACGAGGACTTTCTAAGAAGCAAGCTTCAACCTTAATGTTTTTTAATCTATGTATCTGTTCTTCACTTTTTCTGCTAGAAGAAATCTTATTTTATTTTCCATTAATAGCTAAGCATGTGACATTGTTTCCATGTTTGTATTTTCCCTTTCAAACTTGTTTTAACCATTTCCTCATCCTGCAGGATAACTTTCTCTCTCTTCTCATCAGCCATCCACCCCCAGCCCTTTTTTATTTCTAGGTGAGTCAGTCAGCTGGGCTGCATCAAGCTGAGTTCTGCTCCACTAACCTGTTCCCTCCCGACTCACCCTTTCTCCCCCCTCACCTCTCTGCTGTTTCTCTTTTTAATTCCTCTAATATCTCACAGTGAACCCAAATGCACCTATCTGGAAAGACGGTATAAAGTCAAAGCCATAAAGAAATAAAGTAAGAGTAGAAACCATGCTTGCATTGTCTGGAATCGTACACATAGTATGTTTATTTATGTTCGTGGTGTGTTCCTGTATATATATAATATATATATATATATATATATATAGAGAGAACTGTCTGTACATGTTCCCGATTTCCTGTGTGCTTAACAAGCTGCCAAGAGCAGTGCTGGGCTGTGCTGTAATTTCAGCAATATGCTCACATAACTGTAGCACATGTGTTGCAGTGTGGCCAAAAACATTTGATCAACTATGACTCAAACTAATCTTATTGAGAATGATTTCCATCTGAACTACTAAGATCTTTAACAACTGTATATACGGAATAAAACAGTCCAGAAATAGTGGCTAGCGAAACAAATATTTAATCAACCAAATGTAGGCAGATTGACCAATTTCTGAATAATATATTCAATAGGCAATGCAATAATGTGTAAGCATCACTAATGTTGCAGTTGGCCACTTGAGGCTCTGTACCTGTATACTCTCATGTACTCAATATGTTTGTTACAAAAAAACGTCCCCAGATGTTTCCCCAGTACCTGTGGGGTTTCTTTGGGAGTTTTTCTGGTTCTAAGGACAGAGGTTGTTGTATTCTGTACAGATTGTAAAGTCCCCTGAGACAAATGTATACAAAATATATCAACATGTATAAGATGATTTACATTTGGTATGAATAATTTGATTGTGCAAAGTTACTTGTAACTAAAGCTTTCAAATAAATGTAGTACCTGATGTAGTGTTCCCAAGAAATGATGGTCTTTTTCTCCAGCTGGAAACATGGCGTAATAATCACACTAAGGGGTAATGCTCTTATTTTCTTTTCTCTTTTTTTTTAAAAGAGAAAAGAAAATAAGAGCATTTATTATCACAAAAAGGAAAATCAATCATTTAAAAAGTGAATGTTGTTCGCAAATAAACAAACAGCTCCCACCATCTCAGTCAACCCCATAGAGGCAGTTCTGTATCTGCAATACACACATCTATTGAAGGCGTACAGCATTTGTTTACAAATGTAGCAAAGTCATGAGTGCTAATTTTTTGTTAGCATGTTAATGTAGCTATATCCTAGTTGGCATATTGAGCAATCCTAGCTCAATATATTAGCATCCTTGCTAGTTTACACAAAGATGATGCCAGCTAATATTAATCACAATATTAAATGAAATATTGACAAACCCTTATCAGCCAGGTGCAAAACAAACAAGACACGCAACAAGCTCTTTCCGCTGGAAAAACACACCTGCCACTTCTTCTTCCGGCGTTACTCTTTCAAAACAAAATCACTGGACTTAATAATGTTGGCAGAGGGACTCCTTTTTACAGTCTTGAGAAAACGCATAAAAACGTGAAAAAAACGAATGTTGATCTGGACCAAACTATAGGTTTTAACCAAGCGGCAAACTCCGGGGAAGAGCCGGGACGCCAATACGGAAGTGCCACACACTGCAGTTCATATATTGGCCGATAGGCGATGGCTGCAGAAAGGAGCAATTTCCATAGACCCCCATGTTAAAATGCCCAATTTTACAGCAGAAAAAAAAACATGTTTCTACCCCTGGCTCCATACATTTTTATTATCGATATAGTTAGATTCCACCTTCATGATTATGGATCTGTGAGTGAATTGTTTTCTAACACGACCCTTTTATTTATATTAGGTCTTAAAGTTTTTGCATACATTTATATATACAGTCTATGGTTTTAACCCTACACAAGAACATTTTATAAGTAGGCCTACAGTTGGCTATTGAAGTAAGATATTCACATTAAGAATATGTTAACTGTTGGGAAGACACATTTTGTGAAATTGTAGTTCTGCTAAAAAAGCGCTAAAAAAAAATGTTGTGTTCATGATCTTGTTCCTGGCATTACATATCTTATCAATATCACCACCCAAACATCCTCTGTAACCTGTGTCTTTGATAAGCAACAATAATTCATCTTTTTGCAAACATGTCATGTTTTCATTATGCACTTATAGCGTTGTGTTAATATGGGTTAAACTATTTTTGATTTGGTTTTGACTGACATGGTAACACATATAACAGCATATTTAAAAACAATTGCTGAATCACCAGCACTAAGATCCCTTATGTCTTTTCATTTTATGATGAAACAGAAATCGTACCCTTACCATGATATATTTTTCTGACACAGTGTTATTGCAACTCATAGATCAATGGCCCATGGGCTAATTTAGCTCCTTGTTACAAGACCGACAGCACAGTTATCCAAGGGTTAACAGTTTAATAATGCAATTGCTCCTGGGTTAAGTGTAGTGTGAAAAGAGGTAATAATCATTTTAGAGTTGACCAAGATTGAAGTTTGGCTTACAGCCAGTCTTACTCTGTGCTGGTTGCTAAGGAAGCCAATTAAACCTATATGAAAGCCTCTCCTCAGGAGCCCCGAAAGATTAAATACCCTCAGGTGTATTCTCTCAAAAGTGGAACAATGATTAGACAGCATGCACACTTTGCAATATGTTTAAAGTGATTCAGCTGCTGTGTTTTCAGGTATGGTATTCATATTATCACACTATCAGTGATGGAAATAACCTTGCCATATGTTGTTAAAATGATACTGCTGGAGATGTATTAAAAGCATGAATTGGTTTACATGTAGCTCATGGTTGAGGTTTAACTGGGAGATTAAGTTTGTCTGAGTATTTTCAACTCATAATTGCTTATTAGTTCAGCAGATTTCCTGCAGGGAGACAGCGATTGTTGTACTTGGCGATAATCCCTTTTCCTCCTGTTTTACATAATCACATTGGATGTGTGCTAATGTACTCAGTGTGTATGCCTTTATTTCCAAAAATTCAAATCCAAATGGTCCTCTAAAAACACTGCAAATCAATTTATTCCTCCATTTCACCAAATGTGTGTTCACTTATATGAGTGTATTCTGAACACAGTGAAGGTTAAGTGCATAGCTTTGTCTTCAGGTTCCTTCTCTTTGTCATGTTTATTAACACACACACACACACACACACACACACACACACACACACACACACACACACACACACACACACACACACACACACACACACACACACACACACACACACACACACCACACACACACACACACACACACACACACACACACACACACACACACACACACACACACACACACACACACACACACACTCCGGCAGCTTCCTATTGCCTCCTGCCTGGTTGGAATCTGTAAACCCTGAGCTCCAGCCAAGCTCCTGTTGCTGAGGGGAAACCAGCTGCACACTCATCCAATCCTCCTGCCAGTTCTCCTGCTAATGGCACAGCCCGGTGCACCCCTGTCCACCCCTGCCATAGGAAACCATTTGGTACATCCCATTGGTTCTTCTTTAGCTGGTTTGTCACTGACTCAGTAGTATCACAGCAGGCAGCCAGAACACACACACAGACACACTGACTGACACAAAGCAAGAGTGAGGACGTAAGGGAGAGTTGCTAAAGAGAAGCAGAGAAAGCCTGTCTTCTCTGTTTCCTGGTTGTTTTGTGTCCCTGATATGACCCTGTTCAGCCGGAGATGTGAGTATACGGGGGTTATCCTCATTTCTGTATTTGTGCAAGTGTTAGTGGATGTTTGCATGCAGCACTGTGCTTCTAAAAGACAACATATTCCTCTCTGCCTCTCATTCGTTGTCCTCCCCTCCCATCTTAATTTCCATCTGTTTATAAAATCAGCTGGTGTTTGCTAATCTGAATCCCAGGTTCCGTTTTTTTTTACTTCTGCCTCAGAGCTTACTTCACTGGCTTTCTCTGTACCCACACATTGATCTAATCAGAGGGTGGTTTTGAAAAGAGTGTGTGGGATGTTTGATGTTGAGACGTAAACATTGTGATGCAATAAGAGGTGTTTTAGACAATTTGACCAAAACTGTGCAGGTACATGTGATCAAATCAACCTTTCTCTCACATGGGCAAGGTCAGCAGTAGCTCTAGGGCATAAAGCTCATGAAACAAAAATGTCAGAAGTCATAATTGTGTTAAATGGTGGACTCTTAAGTGCTTTTTATTCAGCATTCAAAAATAGTGCATCTTCTTTTTTAGAGAACAATTAATCATTTGAGCTGCTACATTTCCTAAAAACGTCCACACTGGTTCCGAAACTGGACTGGTCTGTCGGGGAAGTGAAGTATTTAGATAGCTAATACAGGCTTAAAGACTCTTCAATAAAAGTGCAACTCATAGGCAGTCTTTGTTGTTTGCCGTGATTTGAGAAACTGTATTCTCAGGGTCTCTGATCACATAAAGCAGGAGCTTTCATTCACCTCCTTTTTTGCGTGTAACATTTTCTTTCTGGCTTCCACCTCTGATCTCAACATGTGCATCACATCACACTACACTATGTTTTCCATATGCCCTGGCCTATTTATCTGTGTGTCTTCTATTGAAAGTGATGTGATTACTCTGCATTTAGCCCTGAGAGCAGTAACTCTCATGGTTGCCACTTGGCTCTAAGTCTGACCTGAGGTCACTTGCAGTGCAGGAAATGGAAAGGATGACGGAGTGTGAAGCTTTTCAACAAGAAGCATGCATGCTTGGCTTTTGCATCCTTGTATGACAAACTACCCTCTCTTCATATGAATGAATGGTACAAGACTGTGGCCTGAATATTAAACTTTGAGGCAAGTGAGGGCTACAAGCTGTCCTATTCAAGTGAAAATTAGGGGTAAGGGGATATTGGGGCCTTATTTTTCAAATATCAGTCAAATGCTTTGGAGGATGTAAATAGAAAGTCTGACAGCATCCCATACAGATTATTTTATTCATTGACAACAGCCTTTCACATATTTGAACAATGGAATAAACTCAGGTGGAAATATATATGAAGTACTCTTTTTGTTGCTTTATTGCAAATAGTGTTTCATCTTGCCAGCTGTATTCTGAGCTAAGATATTCAAACGGATCAGGCAATATTTTTAATCGGTAACAGTGATAAAACTGGCAGAAATAAAGGCAAATATCTGTTTGTTTTTTAATGCAAATCAGAAAAGAAACAAGCAACTTAATTTTTCCCCTCGGTATGAAATTGTTTTATGCCAATGCCAGTGAAATTAGTACTTATTTATGGTGGAATGTTTGACATTAGTATGAGCAGCGTTACAAACATATGTTTTACATAGATTGAGACGCCTCTGAAAACATTTGTGTCAGTCATCCGCACTCGTGTGTTTGTGTTCTGCTCTGAAATCAGTTGTGTGATTTAAGAGATTAACTGAAAGAATCTTTAAAAATTAAGGATGCGGTTCATGAAAAATTGGAAAATTGGAAGGATGGCAATGATTAGAGAAGATAGAAAATTGAGCGATGTTTTTATCTGATGGTGTTATTATCCCATCTCCCACACATCAGTGACTTCAAAGTGTACAGATTAAAAGAACATGCAGTAGTTTATAATTATCTTCCTATGAGAATCACCATTTTCTTTGTGTGTGTATGTGCAGGTTTCAGGTGAAATTATGTTTTGTTTTTTCTTAATGTCATAAGGAGGGACATTTTGAAAAAAATAAATAACACTAGTCGTGTGTGTGTGTGTGTGTGTGTGTGTGTGTGTGTGTGTGTGTGTGTGTGTGTGTGTGTGTGTACATATTTGCAAAAAATATGAGGCTGCTTGCCAAAAACAGTTTGTACAAGAATTAACCCCATTAAAATGTTTGAGCAAAGTATTTGTATAAATGTTTGCTCTTGAGATTTACTGTGGCATACATGACTCAGAGAAGAATACATAACAGTAATAGTTCAAGGACACTTCAGCGGCAGGGTGGGTGCTGACTGACTGTGGTCTTCAAAGGTTGTCCAGTCTCCTGCTCCTCTGGAGATTCAGAACAATTTTGAAAAAAACTAAAAACATTTTCAAGATGTTACCGTGTCATTTTGTTTCCAGGTAGTGTGGTCTCACTCTGCCTCGGTATGAAGTGACAGTCTGGCACTGAGCCGCACATCCGTTGAAGCGGAGGCTGAAGCTTTCATTGTGGCTGTTCATGTGTGACCTTGATGTGTCCTCTGGTGCCCTTTGCTCCTATTTTATAAACATGCTGACTAGTATGCCATACCTGTTTGATTTCTGTATGATCCGGTTCAGGACTCTCCTGGGCTTGTTCCTGATTCAGTTGACCTTTAGTGAGAATAAACACTTTCCATGCCATGTTATTCTGAAATGCCACCCATGATAATTATACTTTCAGCGTACAGGCATTGTTTGATATACAATGTATTAAAGAAAAGTGTCTTTTAATGTATCCAAAAACAATCTTCCCAAAAGCTGGAATTTGTTCTCTAAATACTACGGTATGTAATGTTTGTAAAATGCTGTTTAACAACATTGATTTGTTTGATTTTACTTTTTTGTTAATGTCAAATGTTCCTCCCCCACCTAATTCTAATAAGGTTAAAATGATAATGAAATGGAGTTATAAGAATAATAAAGAAAAACACATATGAGAAACAAAAGAGCAGATATCTTTAACACTTTACTCGAACAACCTAAACTGTGTTTTTTAGTAGCAAAATACACAAATCGATGTGCTATTATTTCAATTAAAACATTTAATCTGTTTTTAAAATACGAACAGCAAATCATTTTCAATGTAAAGGCTGTAATTTGTAAATGTAACCCAAATATAGGCTTATATGTTGTTCAGGTGAGTGCGTCGGTGCTGTGTGAGTCTTTGCTGGAGAGGCTGATTGTGGCACACAGGATTTTGTTTACCAAATACCAGCTTGATTACCTCCTGAGGTTTTGCTCCCGCAGAGCGAGACCACTGTGCTCAGCGGCTTCCTCCCCTCTTCCTGTGTAATGGCTTCTTCGTGCAGTCAATCATACAGTCCTCATGTTTCTCAGCAACACATTATAAAACTCAGTTTTGTTTCCTTCTGCCGTATAATCATTTCAGCCCCAAATGGTGGAAATGAGGACCTGTCCAGTGTGTTTTTAAAGTTTTGTTTCTGTAACACATTATTTTTCTTCAGTGTACAAGTGTTATCATCATAGTGGAGGAGGTATACTGTCACAGGAAATATTACAATGGTGCATGAAAAGCTTGGCTTATCTAGTGCAGTTGGCCAGATATGAAACATTATCAGTGATTTTTACAGTATTATTTGTAATAGTAAGCCATATAGTACATTGAGGCATTTTATGGTCTGCATTGCAACTTTCTGAAATGGTTAAAATACAATTGTTACTTATTTTGATATGCCAGTATTACTGCCCATAAATATCGACACTTTAATGTGTTTTAGGCATATATCATGTCTTTATTTTGCATTTGTTTATATTCCTCAGATGTCACAGTATCACAGTAGTAGTGTTCTTGGTGTGCACCATAGACTGTATATATAAACGTGTGCATGCTTGCACAGCTCAGGCATTGATGATTTAAAGTGTGAGCAGCAGGGCCAGCTCCTCACCAGCAGAGTTGGCTGCAGAGAAGCCATCCAGCAGGTCACTGTTTGACTAAAACTGTCAGAAAACTATCTCTGCTGTGAGGGATTAAAGGTGCATACACGTGTCTACATTTATTTCCACACATTCTAACCCATACTTAATTAATTGTAGCTTCCAGCCATTTGACAGTCACGCTGTGTGAGTGTATGTGCAGCTGGCCCAGTCACAGTCCATTCACCACCCATCTGTCCATGTCCGACCGGCCTCCTCATCTCGCCTCTTTTTACTTTTTTTTTCACTTTTCCACTCACCTTTGTAATTTTCTACTGAGGCACGACCACCGTGAGCAGTGAGCTGTTGGCATATCCTGTAATCAACACGGCTTGTGGTCAGTGGCACTGGCCTTCTAATTATTCCCAGGGTAAAAACAAAGACATACGGGGAGGCAGATCTCGGTGCCTGCGATCATCGCCTCTAGATTAGCCTGCCAGAAAAGCTGAAGGCGTCTGTAAATACCTCTTTTAACTAAATATTAAAACATTTGTTTTTATATTGCCATTCTCTAACCTTAAGTCTTAAAAACATATTTCAATAATTTAGCTACCATCTTTTACTGTGCAATGTTTGATGTTTTGGTATATTTTCTTTGTGTTGTTGGTCATTGTATTATTGTAATGTTGTGGTTTTGTTAAGCATGCACATAAGGCTCAATATATATAAATAAATACAGTATTTCCGCATTTAGACAGAGGTTTTTGCAGGAGAGACCTACGCAGACAAAGAGATATGGGGTTTGACGTTTTTAGACGAACTAAAGCTGCAATAGGGTTCTGATGTAGACTTGCAGATGGGGGACAATAATTGAGGTGAACAGCTGGCTCGGAGTGGCAGGAGCTATTAACAATGAGTGATGGATGATAGATGTACTGTATGTGAAAAACAGCCACTGTCGTTCTTAGCCGGCCCTTTAGTCATTATGATGTCAAATGTTGACAGCAAACACAACCGTTTAGGTTCATTTTGTTCAAATAAAGAGCAAACTCGGGTGTTGGATATACATGAGCAGACAATGTGAAGGGTTTATAGGTTAGTTAGTCATCTGAATTAATTCTCTATGTGTTGTACCCCTGCTATATTGTGTTTTGATGGTCTTTGCTGTATCAGTACAAAGTTAATTGCTTTCTCTTCCATGCAGACATAAGCATGAGTGGAGAGTTGAAGTCCAGCCGCTCCAGGGCAGCCAGTAAGAGAGCCAGCAACACCACTTATGGGTGAGTAACACACACACAAACACACACCCCTGCCACCACACACTGAGGTAATCATGCACTCTATTATTTGCTGCAGCCCTTTATCTGTAAGTCAAGGACTGCACCTCAGCGTGGCGATCAATGTAGCATTATTCGTTATTAGCTTCATACCAGCTGTGTATGTAAGCATCTATTGATTTTAGCCAGAGGTGCTGTCTCCATCCGTCAATGTTTTAATCTCTCTGTTGATGTAGTGCACACATATGACTGGAGCTGATTACTGTGTATTGCTGGCAATTCAATACAGCGCCGGGGAGCTACACTTGCATTAACTGTGTGCTCAGATAGCTGGTGAAGGGAATGGAGGGCAGTGGGAGAGGCGACAGTGTGTGGGCTTGTGTAAATTCAATTATGCCTTCATTACTCTTACCTCCAACTCTCTCCTTGAACCACATCTCTTCTCTGGCTGCAGATTTGTGTGCTTGAGGTCTTCTAATGAGGATAAAGTACAGAGTATTCAGGTTTTTTTGTCTCCATTTCCTCTGAAAGCCCACACATTGTCGACCATAAAGCAAGAGACCTGAAAACGATAAGCAAGGTCCTTAAAAAACGAGAACGAAGACACCAACATTGCAATTGTTAATACTCATTGGGCTCCTGAAAACAGGTTTTTTTGGGTTCTGCTTCCACCGGTGTAGAAATTAAATGAATACAATTTGAATAGCTTTACCAAAAGAGGGACAAAAGCCGATTTGCTGACAATGTACAGTAGATGTGGAGAGGAGATATGCTATCATTAAAGCAACTGGGGTAAGCATAATAAATAATATTAAAATGCTGTGCGTGACCGGGCACCAGAATACAAAATAGGTTAGCAGTGCAAACAAAAATAGGAATTTAATATTAACAGATGTGATAATATTGATGCCAAATCAACAATTGCTTTATTATTCTGTATAACTGTGACACACACTCCTTAAAATTGAAAGTCGGAAAGTCTAAGCTCCAACCCCCAGAATTCATTCTATTGAAACAATTCACCTGGAGAGTTTTCTTGACTAATAGAATGCATTCTGGGGGTTGGAGCTTAGACTTTCCGACTTTCAATTTGAAGGACCACCCTATGTGAGGCTAAAGTTCAAGGTTGATGAGGGAAGGGTAAATGTTCTTGGAATTTGAATAGAATTCTCCAGGAGAGTTTTTTTGACTAGTATAACGAATTCCGGTGGTTGGAGCTTAAAATAAATGAATTAAAAAAATGTACCTCTCACGCACCCTAACACAAACATTTCCAGCTCCACTGTAAATACTGATATTTATTCATTCCCGAAAGTTCCCTGGCCCTTTGCTTGTCTCATTATAGCATAAGGTATACAGGTGTATATATATTGCAATGTAGGGCATTAGATATTATATCCCCAACACAGTTAATCCAGCTCTCTGCCTGTGCTCCCTCCGACCGTCTCTGCCTAGACCTTAAACCCCCAAACGTTATTTGCCCATTCCACCATGTAATTATTCAGCATGCGGCCATGCATTAATGAGGTTAGTCATACATACAACAAGCACACGCAATGACTAACCGCAAATGGGGCACACCTGAGGTAGCAGCCTGATATAGCCTGAGATTACATGGAACTAAATTTGACTCTCAGTGGTTGTTTTAGGTCTATGGACACATCCAGTTGATTTAATGTGAGAACCTGTCCAGTCTCATAGACACAGAACAAGACTGTGAGTGTGCGGCCATTTTAGCAGCTCTGTGAAGCTGTATATTACATCCTGGTGCATTTAGCTAAATGCTAATGAATCATGCTCATAATGAAACTGCTTACATGCTGATGTTAACAGGTAGCCTATAATGTTTGTAGACCAACTATCACCATCTTAGTCTCACATGATACATGCATGCACATCTTTGCTAAACATATTTTAACCTCATTATAGCAATAGATGAAATATCAGAAGGGTCACAAAATGTTTTACCTATTAACCTGAGGGCAACATCATTTTGTGTAGACACATGAATGGCCAACATTTCAATAGAAAAACACGAATAAAAAGAAAAACACAAACAACTTTATAGAGGAAAAAAAAAGAAGGGTTGGTTAGATTTATCACCTGGGCGCCATGAATGTGTGTACACAATTGAATTGCAATCCATTACATATTCGTCTGGACTAAAGTGGCCGACAGTTCGACTTCCTACGCTGCTAACATGGCTAAAGCCATTCATTTACACAAGTTGTGAAACTGCAAACATAAAAAGTGATCCAAATGAAGCTCAGCGCAAGTTATTTCAGCAAGACTGGTATACATTCAGTCCGCAGCTGCTTATAATCAGCTCATTACGGGCGTGGTCTTTAACCAATTACATTCACCTCATTCTCCAGCAGCCAATCACCGTGCTGCAGCCAAACTTTAAAATGGTTCTCCTCTCTCCTGCAGTCAGCTGTGATTTCAGGTTGTCATGCTGCTGCCCGCCTCCTCCCCATCCACCTCCTTTTATCATATCCAGTGCCAGGAAAGTTAATCCAAGACCTCATCACACCTCCTCTTCATCCCATCTCCTCATAAAATCCAGATCTTCAGCATCATCACCAGTGTCTAGCCCCCGGGGGTTCCCTATATGCTCACGGCTGCATTTCCCCCTTTAGATATACGATTTCAGGATCGGGGTCTAATCGCCAAAGACTTAACATTTATCATATGACGTGTCAATAAATGTTCTTTAAACAAAATGAAGTCTCTCCTGATTGAAATGCTTTCGCTTTAATTTATATTGGAAGGCAGAGTCAAAAAGTGTTAATCCCTCACCCTGAACAGCATTGCATAGATTTCCAGTCAAGGGAAGAGATAAATAAATGACCAAACAAGCTAATCTACATAATCATTTCACAGTGAATAATACTGCTATAGCCACAAATCTAAATCATGGCAACACAGCCACCAAAACTCTTTGTGGCCAGAATCCAATATTCCTGCTCTGTGCTGCTGGCATCAGTGTGCCCGTCCCCTCCCACTGTTCTCACAGTTGGCCAACGAACACTACTGCCTATGGCCTAGATTACTTCTCGAACAAGCTTTTCAACTCATGACTAAAAGACTAAAGCAATATAATCTGCTCATGAAACACTATATGGGTTGAATGTTGCTAAAGGATTGTAATATTGTTGGAAATGTTGATTTATTTAGCTAAAAAAATAACTACCACTGTGGTGCCACCGATTGGTTTGTGGACTACCATTTTGAAGCCGTTTGGCATTTGAGCTGTAGCCATTTTGGAAGTACTAACAAATGGTTAGAGATGAGTACACCTGTAACGCTGAACAAAACATGATAAGGCGACCAATCGTTGCTATAAACTTTGATAACCCTTAAAGCACGCTGTGGTTGAAGTACAGAGGTAGCGACCTGTCAATCACAAGGAAGCAGAGTATGCTGCTTTATCGTCAATTTTACTCTAAATTGGCTCATCATTTACAAAATGAACATCATGCCTAATTTAAGAAAACTTGAGACAAGTGATTTTGAATATATTCATTAAGAAGTAGAGTCATTTTCTCATTGACTTTTATACAATCAGACTTGTTTTTGCATCCAGTATAGGTGTCTCTGGCTGGCCGTTACAACACATCCATGTTTATGGCACTTCTGCATTGGCTTCACTTTTCAGACCCAGATGTTGAAGTTTGGTCCTCCCCCCTCAGGCCATTTTCTCCAGAGCAACCCTGAAATGATAACGGTTATCATCATTAATCGTCCATGCTTTCTGTCTTTCACAGCAGGTCGCCTCTAGCTTGAGTCCCAGCTGTTTAAGAAGGAATAGGGTTGAGAGAATGGTGAACGTTTCACAACCCAGATGTCACTGCTGCGTGTGTGCTCCAGTGCACTATTACAAAAGCTCACTGTACTGTCATGGCCTGTATAAGGAGGCTCAGGTGCCAGAGGAAGGGCCTCAGAAGTGTCTGTGTGTTTGTGTGCAATTTAACTCTGAATTGGTAAACCAGGTCAAAGGTCTGCTGTGGTTAAGCAATTAAAAGAAACAGAGCAATATCACATTGAAGATCCTGATGTTTCTCTAGCTCTGTTCCTTAGCTTGTGGCTCTGTGGTCACAGCATTCTCTGTAGAAATGTATATCCCGTCCTCAACCCAGCACAGTGCTCATTTCATCATCTTCTCCATTTTGAAATGTTTTATCACAGTGAAGAGGGGACTGGCCTTCACGAGTGGTAGACCGTACTGAACATCTGGTCTCTGGTATTTCTGTCTGCTTTCTCAATGCCCTCACTCATTTAATATTCTCATCTATTTAAATTATCAGAAGGGCTGGTCATAGAGGAGTTTGAGTTATGATGGAAACGATGTAGCGGGCCTATCTGTCGTAAAGGGGGCAGCGGAGGGTTCAAAGTCTGCAGCTGGCAGGAGCAGTGATGATGATGTCCTATCTGTTCTGCTACACAGCGTGGGGCAACCTAAAGAGTTATGTGATGGCAGATATTACAAAGATGGGTAAGAGGGTGACAGGAATAACAAAAGTTGGCCAGGGCAACTAAAAATATAATTCTCGTTTGATACAACTGGGTCGTCATTGTTGTGATTTGGGTCATCATTTTTATTGGTTTATGATAACATTGAACTAATTGCAGTGTTTGTTTCTTATCAGACTTGTGTGCTCTACTAAGTTCTAACTTCAATGAATGCATTTAATGAATTAAAATGTTTCTTAGAGGCAGTTATAGTAGTATTAGGGAAAGATCTAAAAAGCTTTTTTCACTGAGTATAATTTTAGTCGTTGTCCTCCATCTCATTTGTTCCCCTTGCGACACTTGTCACTGATTTTGTCAGATTGTAGATGTGTATCTAGCCTGAGGCTCTGCTGGCTGACATCTGTAAAAAAAAAAAACACCACAGCAAGTGAAAAAGCAAAGAGCAAATAGGCAATCTGCAGTCAAGAAAGCGATGTTAAAGTTATTTTACGACACCCTTTTTTGTGCTGTACATATTTCTGTGACATCAC